AACCCTAAACCCTAAACCGACTTTGGCAAAGGACTCCTTTGCACTTCCAATCCGGAAGAGTTGCGGAGGAACTTTCGAGCCGAAGCCGCAAGCCTGGAATTTTAACACAGGGGTACTATTTAGGGTTTAGGGTTTAGGGTTTAGGGTTTAGGGTGTAGGGTTTAGGGTTTAGGGTTTAGGGGTACTACATTCCACAACAATTCCGAAAAGGAGCCCTAAGGAATAGAGTATAATCTAGGGGGTGGTACTTGATGGAAAAAGTATGAAAAGGAACCCTGAGGAACAAAGTATTATCTAGGGGGTAGTACATGATGGAGAAAGTCTGAAAAGGAACCCTAAGGAATAATGCTGGAACTGATTCTTCAGGCTTCTAAGTCTACATTCTGAACCCGAAGCCCTCAGCGGCAATGTGGTTCCGCCGTCGACCACCCCCTAAACCCTAAACCGCCAGTCTCAAAAAGTTCAGAAAGACTGCTCGGAAAGTAGAACTTAGCCACAGTCTCAGAGCTGACTTCATGCTTCCCCGCAGCAGGCTATGTGGTGGCCGTGACGGTTCCCCGTCGCCTGGCCGCCGTGACCTTGGCCACGCGGGTGGCCCAGGAGACTCGACGGCCGAGACCCCGAGCTCACAAGCCCTGAGCCGCGCAGCGAAACCTCGAATTTTCTGTGTTTTTGTGTCGGTTTGGGGGAGGATCCTGTTCGCTGCGAAGGAACAGGCATTCAGTCTCATGCCTTCACGTAGCTTTCCGCAGCCGGAGAAGCGAGTCCAAGGATTCACTGCAATGCAGAGGTACTTTTTTGGCTCGTGGAAGTTTGTAGAAAGACTCGGTGATCAGTTTGTGATCGTATACCTTCATCGGCAACAGCGGCCCTGGATCCGTGCAGAGTTTTGCGACATTGAACTTTGAACATAAACTGTGCCCCGTGCTCTGAATCCTATGCCCCCCAAGGCCAAATCCTGTTCCTTTGTTCCTTCCAATCTTGAACCGCTACAAACCCTAAACCCTAAACACCTAAACCCTACAAAACCGTAAACCTTAGACCCTGAAACCCCCTAAACCCTACAAAACCCTAGATCCTAAACCCTAAACCCCCAAAACCCGAAGCCCTAAAAACCTGAAGCCCTAAAAACCTGAAGCCCTCAAAACCTTAAGCCCTAAAAACCTTAAACCCCCAAAACCCGAAGCCCTAAAAACCTTAAGCCCTAAAAACCTTAAGCCCTAAAAACCTTAAGCCCTAAAAACCTGAAGCCCTAAAAACCTTAAGCCCTAAAAACCTTAAGCCCCAAAGAAAACCCTAGACCCTTGGCATGCCAACCCCCAGGTCTCCATGCTCTCCGACCTTTCTTCGTCTCTGGACACCAAACCCACAGCCCCAAAGCCCTTTTTGGGGTTTAGGGTTGAGGGTTGAGGGCTTTTTTAGGGTTTAGGGTTTAGGGTAAAACTTCCGCCCTAAACTTCCAACCTTCGTATTCCAGTCCTCGGTTTTCGATGCTCTCCGTCTTCTGGCAGCCCCCTAAAGAAAACCCTGAACCCTAAACCCTAAACCCTAAACAACCCTGAACCCTAAATCCTAAACGCCCCGGCAGGAGATGGGTGTCGAAGTTGGCCGCGAGGTCGGATACCGAATCCGCGACTCGGCATGCCTGGCAACCTGTGAAGGCTGTAGGGTTCAGGGTTGTAGTGATTTGCGGGTTCAGGGTTGAGGGTTTAGGGGTTTCAATAGGTGTTTAGGGTTTTCGGTTTGGGGGCTTTCGGGCGTTGGGTTTTGAGCTTTAAGGTTCAGGCTTAGGTTTAGGGGTCGGGGTGACCTTAGACTCTGAATTACTGGAGGAATACCTTGAGTCTTAACACTCTACAACTCGAGAACGATCTTGGCATTTCAGGTTCAAAGAGTATGTTTGCAGTTGCACAGGCAGACAAGGCCCCAGCCCAACCGTGCGCACCAGATCCAGAAGCTTTCTGGTCCGATGCTCGGCAACCCCAAGCCCCCAAAACCCCAAACCCCCCTAAACCCTAAACCCTAAACCTAAACCCTAAACTCTAAACCCTATGCAGAGCCCTGATGGCTTGTAACTCCTTCCAGGAGCTCCTGCCCACAAGCGCGGGATTTAGCTTCTTGGACTTTGGGGGCTCTGTAGTGCGGTGTATGCCCGCATCCTGTCACATTTCGCGCTGCGCTTCCGAAGAAAAGTGCTGTCTGTGTGGAAAGGCCGTCCTTCGTGCATTAGCTGTTTTGAAGATTGTGATTTCTGTGTTCAGATGGATGTTGCTGCTCACGGTGACCAAAAAAAGTTTCATTCGCTCCGCACTAAAACTGCGGATGACCAAAACGCTGGCGCCTCGGCTCGCTGTTGCCTTCATTTGATGCCTTGGTTTGATTCGAAGGAATGGTGGCCCGCTTACGGGGCGATGTGATCTGCAATTCGCATCGTTCCAAGCTCTCCAAGTATGTGCCGCTGGCTTGGTTGTTCGTGTTGCTTCTCGCTTTCTTTTTGTTGCCGCCAGGCCAAAAAGCATTCGGTGGGATCCTCTGGGTCCGCGTCGGCTTCCTCCTCTTCGTCCTCGTCCTCTTCCTAAGGAAGAAGCACGACGAACACTGGTCGCTTGCACTGGCTGCTACTCCTACTCGAAACAACAGCAGTAAGTACGAGTACTAGTAGTCGTTTTTCGGGTGCAACAAGCACGACGGCCTTCGAGAATGCTCCTTGCTTCTGCGAAAGCAAAATGTCCCGTTGCAAAGGTTTCGCAGAGGCTTCCACGGACTTTGGGACGTCTTTGAAGGCCGGCACTTTCTTTTTCTTTGCTTTCCACCCCCGTAAAGCGATTACCTGAGCATCTCCTTGTTAGAGCTTGCTGTTGCTTCTGTTGAGTTTAGGAACGTTTCCGAGGCAGCAGTTGTCGCTGTACATATGTCCTTACCGCGGTGCCGCGGCTCCTAGCACGGTTCGGCCGCGCTTCTGTTTTCTCCGTGTCGCTGACCTTGCAGTCTGCTCCGGCATGCCGCCTCTGGCCCGCAGCCGTCTCTGCCCAGCTCGAGACATGCCTTCTAGTGGCCCGACCAATCTCCGCCGCAGTCATGTCCCTTAACATGACCCTTAAGCTGCGGCAGCAAATCCCTTCCTCCAATCAGCTTCTTCCGCAGCTTGGAGATCGTGTGGTGCGCTTTCAGCGCCATTGGCTGGATTTGGTTCTGGAGGCACGAAGACGGCGGAACTCGCCGCGATCGCACGACCAAGGGATGGTCGCGTTTGGGGTCGCATCCACATTGGCGACGCTGCGCGGCTCTCCTCCATGGGGAGCTTCGGGCCACGCGTGGTCAGCATCGGGTGGATCCCACCGAGCTCCCCTGCGGAGCACGGACATACCTCTGGCCTTTGTCTGGACTTTACATTCTGCCCGAGCCTGTGCCGTTCCACAGTCGCCCCGGACCTGTGACGTGGCTGCCCTTGCGCCTCCACCGCCGACACATGTGCAGGATGTGCACCCGGCCCGGGGTCCGGACCTGCTGCCGTTCTCGGTCCGACGCTGCCTCCGCCTCCAGCGGACCCCGCCGTCAGCGATCCCGCTCAGCACCTGCTCCTCTTCGGTTTCCTGCGGCGTCCACAGGTCGCGTCGATGGCTCGGGCTTCTGGCGCCTGCTGCTCACAGCTTCCTTGGCTCCATTTCGCTCCCCTTTAGTTGTTTCGCGCCATGGCCCTGCTCTTGCGCGAGGCCCAGGCGATGTCCCCGGCGGATCGCCAAGTCTGTTGTATCCCAGTGTAGGCTGAGTCGATAAATCTTGAAGTGGGGAGGGGGGGGGTTCAAAAGAAGGATATCGTAGCATCGGTGATGAGTGCGGTCCTTTTTTTGCTAGTATGGTCGTGCAGGATTAACGCTCGCAACCTTAAATCCAACATGCTACTGCACTACTGGTCGCCTCTAAACCACCGAAGCCTAAACCTGAATATACCCAGACTTGAACCCTCTCTCAGGTTTCGACGCTTGCGTTAGCCCCGGCAGCACACGCATCGAATTCATGCGGCTGGGGCTTGTATTAGGGGGCAAGCTTCTTCTGGGAGCTTTGTTAGGGTCTTCAGATTGGGAGGATCCTTGGGGTAGGGTTTTAGGGTTTAGGGTTTAGGGTTTAGGGTTTAGGATTTAGGGTTTAGGGTTTAGGGTTTAGGGTTTAGGATTTAAGCGCCTAGGGAGCAGTTGTTGGGGCTTGAAGCGTTCTTTTGCGTTGCGGGCGGCGGGGGAGCGTGATGCTTGCGGGTTGGAAGCTTCAAATCCCAGTCATCCATCGAAGGTCTTCAGTTTATCCCTAAGCCCTAAGCCCTAAACCCTAAACCGCCTAAATCTAAGCTCTAGACCCTAAACCCTAAATCTTAAACCCGAAGCCCTCAACCCTGAACGCTGAACTTTGAACCCTCAACCCTAGCCTTTGGCACCCCCAGTCTCTCTCACGCCGTCCGGTAGCCAAGGACGGAGGGAATCCTTCTCCGCGAGATGTTGTCTGACCCGTTGCTGACGCGATTCAGCGCCCGGGCAACTCTCAGTAAGCAGCGCTCCTCTCGGCCCTAAACCCTAAACCTGAACCCTCAACCCTGTAAACCCTTAACCGTCGGTCAGCTCAGTACTCTAGTGGACGGAAAAAGGTGTTCAACAAAGACACGGCCGTCGGTCAGCAAGGAAGAGATCAGCAAGCGTCGGGGTACTTCTGGTCCCAGGCCCTGGTTGTCGTTTAGGAATTCAGGATTTAGGGTTTAAGGGTTTAGGGTTTAGGGTTTATTTGGGGCCTGGCTTGGTTTCATGCGCTTTCCGGCAGCCCAAAATCCCGAAGCCGCTTTGCCACTTACCTCAGGAGTTAGGTGCAGTAGGTAACTTTTTACACGAGTCATTTGGTGAGTGCATATACGGCCCTGTAGCATTAGTATTGGTGTTCTTCTGTTGGAGATACTAGCATAGAAACCTTACTTCAAGTGTGAACAGTTGAACTCGTACATTTTTGGGGGAGTTTGAAGGTGCAGGGCGTTTCGAGGTGCGAGAGTTCCAGGGCTGGCACCACAAAAACCCTAAACCCTAAACCCTAAACCCTAAACCCTAAACCCTAAACCCTGAACTTTAAAACTGAAGTCCCCCGAAACTCGGAGGCCTCAAACGGTGGGATGAAAGTAGGGTTTAGGGTTTAGGGTTTAGGGTTTAGGGTTTAGGGTTTAGGGTTCCCAAATCAGAGTCTAGGGAGCGCTAATCTGACTTACATTCCACTTTTTGAGGCCTCCGAGAAGCTTCAACCAAAACCATGAAAAGCATAACCCTCAGCTCAAGGAAATGAATTCAACCAGAAACCCTAAAGCCTACACTCTACGGTTTAGAGTTTAGGGTTTAGAAATTAGGGTTTCGGGTTTAGAGTTTAGAGTTTAGGGTTTCGGGTTTAGGGCTTAACCCTACACCAAGGTGTCGTTGTCATTGATGAAGCGCACGAGCGGAGCTCCAACACGGACTTGCTGCTCGGGTTGTCGCCGGGCTGAAACCCGAAACCCGCAGACCGACACTAATAGTATATAGTGCAGAGTATGTAACACACAGGCACACACGCACACACGCACAGATATGCAGATATATATATATATATATATATACATATATATATATATATATATATATATTATATGATATGCATATATGAAGAGTGAATTTATACTTTGGGCTCTTCGTAGGGAATGGAGGAATGGATCCCTAAGGTGGTCTCGTGTAGTAGTCCCTGTAACCCATGCCCCCTTTCTGTGGTAAGAACGAGGGAGCGTGCCCTGAACCCCAATTGCCAAACCTTCAAAGCCCTTCGGCTCTGACAAGCTATACTTGCATCGGAAAATGCGCATCTTGGGGCCGCGGCCCGTGCAGAAACTAGTTCAGTGCCTGAAGCCTGTTCTTCGAGCGTGGAGATGTTTGTTTACGCTCAAGCGCGTCGGCTTTGATGGCCGTAGTGTTGTGACTTCGACCCTTAGAAGTTCTTCGGGCGAAACAAATCTGAGAATGCCAATTCCCAAGCCCTGAACCCCACTCTGACAGGCCTCAAGGCTTCGTTTTTCCTATTCTCGAACATACGCGAAGTTATGCCCGAAGCAAATCGACCCCCTGACACACTCGCAAATCTGAGTCAAGTCGCGCCATTAGCAAAATCATCTATGCCTGCAAGCCTGTAACAGCCTGTGACAGATCGGCTCTTTGGGTGTTCAGCATCATCAAGCTCGCAACATGCACATTCGCATGCCTGGAGCAAATCTCATTCCTTGTCTTTACACGAACCTTGTTAAGAAACCCTGGGCCTTTACCAGAGCTCCTTATTTGGATCCTAATATGTTGGGGTTATGGGGCCAGGGTTTCGTCACACTCACAGTGGCGCAGGCCTGGGTCGATACCAAGTCGAAGCTCATGGGTTGTTGGCACAACGGAGCTGGCCTCATAAATCATAAGGCTTCAACAAGCATAATGTTCCATGAATGTTCCATGAACGTGAAATAATAAAATTACATTAGTTATATGAGAAATGGTATATCAAAATCGCATAAATAATGTAAGTGCATAGCAGTGATAAGTCACACCCTGGGTGGTCTCGCATCATCAGAATCTTAACATCAAGAAGGCCGCGCCCGTGGAAAAATCACACCTTTGGCTGCCTGGAGCAATCAAACTCCTGAGATGCAACATCCTCAGACCGAAGCAAATCGCGAGGCTAAAGAAGATCTGCCGCAAGCGGCCGAGGCTGAGGCGCTTGAAACAAAGAGTTCAGAATTCAGATTGTGTTAAAGACCGCAAAACTCCATACAAACACAAGGAACCCAAACAGGGTGTTTAGTTCTATTCTGATTAGTGTTAACCATGGTTGTTCTGATTAGTATGATGAGTTTTGTTATTCTTATCACTATTACCACTATTACTATTGTTATTGCTATTATGATTCTTAGGCCCCCCGCCTCTTCTTTTGATTTTCAAGCACAGGATCCTTTTGCTTTACGTGCTTTTTTGGAAGGGGGGGGGCACTTGAGGGTTGTACCCTAAACCCTCAACCCTAAACCCTAGACCCGAAACCCTAAGATTTAGTGTACGGCAGGCCTTGCGGATGGAGAAAGAGGCTATTGCATTTAAACAAAAACCCTAAGAGCAGGGGCGATGCGGTTGACTGGTTTGGGGTTTAGGGGTTAAGGTGATGGTGATGGCGCTCTGCAGGTTCGGGGCTAAAGAAGCTTTGGGTGTAAGGCCTATGGCGCCTCTGGTGGAACTGGAACTTCACGATTTAGGGTCAGGGTTCGAAGCTTCAATTCCTAAACCTTCAAAAATCAAAGCCCTATAATCTTAACTCTAAATCTCAAAGTCCTAAACCTTCAAATCTCCAAGTCCTATAATCTTAAGTTAAAAGCCTGAGCCTTAAATTCTGAACTCAAAGCCTCTCTTCCCCGGAACCTCGGCCACCCCAATCCTAAACTCAGAACCCTAGAAAAAAACTGAGCCCTAAGCTTTTCCACCCTAAACCCTAAACTCTAAACCCTAAACCGATATAAGCCCTAACGCTGTCCTGGAAGCTCCAAAGCCCTTGCCAGGATTGTCGTCGCCTCCGCGACGGTGGACGCCCAGGCCTTCTTGCCTCTCGGCACCCAAGAACTTCTTCGTCTGCTTCCCGGTACTCCCTGACTGGCTACCATGGGTTCTGAACACTTTTGCACGAAGCATCACGATTGCTGCTCCTCTTTGCGGTTACTGCTGCTAGCTGCTAGTATTTAGGCCTCTGGCCCCTAGGGTCAGACAGTTCAGTGAATCAGAGCGTCTTGGGTTGAAGCACACTAGGGGTTAAGGGTTTAGATTCCATGTCCAATTGTTCATTGATTTCAAGCAAGTTTTATCAGAGCTTGGTTTGACTTGATATAGGGAGTATAGGGGCCTGAAGAATTATGTGAAATGATTCCTTTGGGCTCCTTCGCAAAACAAGCTATACTGCACTATACCCCTATACCCAAAGCTCTGGTCTAATTTTCAAGGTCCCTTTCCCATACTCTTACTCTAGCTCCTGTCGGGAAGGTCGACAGCCTGATTCGGAAAGCCGCAAGCCCTACCCTCCAAGACTCTCTAAACCCTAAACCCTAA